TAAGACACTAGGGCTGGCTACTGCCCGTGCCCGTCACCGTTGATCTTCGTCTACGTGACAACATGGTACCCAAGGCATTTCAAGCAGGTTACGCGAACACGACTGGCTTCAGAAAGGTTGTCAAGGCGACTATATACATCAAGAAGAAAGATGGCATGTCGGATGCCGACTTTATCGAGTACTATAACAACAACCACGCACAGCGCGCAGTTCCCATCCTGCAGCGCCATGGCATCCTCAGCTACAGCCTTGTACAGCCCGAGCGCAGTCCACTACATAGCACCCAAGCTGAGACCGCCACAGACATACCATCTAGAGCGGGATCGAAAAGCCATACAAGACATTATGCACGGCAAAGCCAAACTCATGGACTACGATGCCATCTGCACCTTCGTCTTCCCCGACTATCTGGCGCTGGCCAAGTTCATGTACGACAAAGACGGCGCTGCCTTGAATGGCGATCACGACAACTTCATGGACGACAGCCAAATGAAGATGATGGTCGGAGACGAGTACATGCTCATCCAAGACGGGGACAAGGTCGGATGACCAAAGTGCAACTGAAGACGGAGTCTTCATGGGGTATCATTGAACCGGACCAAGTGTACAAATACATCGAGAAGACGTCGCCGCGGCTACCTCCGGCCTTTGCCTTTGCCTCTGCCTGCAGATCCTCGTGGTGTAGACGAGCAGTTGGCTGAGATATGTCCCTTTTGCCCACATTTATAGCATTCCATGTTGGCCATGCCACCGAAGCCGCCCCCGCCTCCGGACCGTCGACTGCCTGAGATCGATGTCAAGCCCTGTAGGTCGCCATTGTCTTTCTGTCGCTTCGGTGTTGCCTTGACGGAATCGTCGCCCCGCTTGTTCTTTGATTCGCGCTTTTCCGTGGCCATTTCGCGCTTGGTCTGTCGGATCAGATCTGCGGCAGGATCGTCCGAATCGTAGTCGTCTGAAGAGTGCTCGGATTCTGATTCTGAGTTCTCGGCCTTGACAAAAGGCACCGTTGTCTGCATTTCGTCAGTTTGATTCTATCGCGAGTGCAAATTGTACACACATCTGCCTTCTTCTTGACACCACCGCCGAACTGCATTCTTATAGGCTTAACATCTTCCTCATCGTCCTCGTCCTCGTCCTCTGCGTCGAGCTCAGCGAATCCCGCTTGCCTAACCTTCATTGCATCTTGTCTCTTTCCTTCAAGAGGGTCCTTGAAACTCAACACCCACTTTGTCTCACCCGCATGTTGCGCAGCTTTGTCTAGGGCCGCCTGGCGCTTCGCTTCTTCCGCATCCAGTCCCGATTGTATGATGTCGTGATCCGAGGTTCCTACAGCAGATGCACCATTCGAGAGGCGTGCTTTCTTGCTAGGCGGGCCATTGGGCGTCGAGGGCGAAGATTTTGCGGCCGCGCGCTGCATAAACTACTCGCGTTCAGCGTACTCCTAGGGTAATCCAGTAGTGACCTGCGTACCTTCATCCCCATCAGTCCCTTGGACATAGTTTTGGGCGTGTTTCCAGACATCCTGTGATTGGCTACAATATCGGTATCGCCGCGGAGGGTTGGCTGGGTTGTGAAGTTGCTGTCTTCGTTTGCGAACGCGCAGAGTCGCGTTCGGCGAACTTTTGACGCACGGACCCGTCGCGCTATCGATAAGGCCGTGCCCAAGTGCCAAGCCGATGATGTAGCTCTGCCATTTCACGCATCCTGAGCAATGTCGCAACCGAGCTTCCCCAAAGCCTCTTTTGGCGCGATTTCGATCTTGTCTCAGCATTAGGGTTAGCTTCGAGTATGAACAGTATCTCAGAAGGTCCGACATTGGCTACACACGACTTCGCCTCCCACAAAACAGGGCACGAACACAGTGGACCCCTAGGGCTGCATGCAGCGGTTGCCAGGAAGTTCACCGGTGTACAAGAGACGTATTTCAACATGGGCCAGACTCGCACAACATGCAATGACGTGGAACCGAATGTTCGAGAACTCTTGAAGAGCTGTGAATTAACAGTAGTGATATTCTAGCGTCGCCCTACGTCTCGAACCATGAGGACGTTCCGGACTGCAATGTCCACCAAGAATGAATCTGGACTAATCATATGGCGTCGTCACCATATGTCGGCCCTCAGACCACCACTATCTCCGTCGTTTGCGCTAGCAACGCTCCGTGCCATTGGGGTATCGTCGAGGTTCCAGCCTCCAGGTATCTGCCGTATAAGGCGGCGTATGACGCCATTGGTCGTTAAATGTAAGTCGTCTCAGTAGTATGTGTGGGTTGGCATATGGTATGCGGCGGAGAACCGCGCCTCCGCAAGATGCTCATGCGGGCTTGGTTATGCTAGGGCTCATGGCTCTCGAGAATAGTGCAGCTTTCATTTGTCGGTAGGCCTCGATAGCTTGTTCCTGGGACTGAAGTCCGGAATGAGACTCTGTCGACGGACACAACTGGGGTCTGGGTAATGAAGTTGTCCATGATGATATGTCGGAGGCGTGTGCAGGTGATAGGAAAGGATGCGACGACGCATGGTGGGTGGTAGAAGCCATGATCCTTGGAGAAGAAGAAGATGAAGACTGAGAGCCAGTTGAGCTTGTAGCAGGAGAAGACATTTTGGTCTGCTGGAAACGTGGACACTCGCGACCCATATAAGGCCTGGGGATAATTTGTCAAGCAAGATGCGAACGATAACAAATCCCAAAAGTCGAATACCATGCTGAACTCCGAAACGTGCTCCGGCACGATTACGACTAGGGCTTGCAGGATGATGGACCAAATTTCCAAATCACGACATTGTGATAAGAATGGCAACCTTGTTGTCGTCAATGACACAGTAATCAGAGTGCAGACGCGGAGAGTCGCACGGGAGATCGTCGCGAAACAACCTTTATCCAATCGCAATACGAAATCCTTGGACATTTGACCAATCGCAACCGAGCGACATGGATGGGCCTGCTTCACATAAGGGACTGCTAGATGCCACGAGGACGAAAATCGTGTGTTGCTTGACAAATCCCAGAGCCTCGGGAATCGCCAATCTCATACGGCGTATACGCGACATTCCGTGTTGACTTACCGACAGTCTGGTGGTGTTTATTCCAAATTCCTCACGCGAATTCGACGCTAACGGCTGCTAGTTCCTCCGGTCTCACTTCCTCGAAACGCAACTTTAACGATCTCGCATGCACCTGCATGTTCTCTGAAGCTCGGTCCGCGAATATGCCCATGTCCGGTGTCTAAAGCGCCTCAGCCGCTGGTGTTGATGATGATCGTGCACTGCTGGCAGAGCAAGCCTTATGAAAGGACTACCTTAAACGGGAAAGACATCTCGGTGCCAGCTGCACGCTATGCGGACCGCGAGGTCCTTTGTAAGGAAGGTGGATCCCCGGTCGGATGCGCAATTTGCCCCAAGAGCTTCTACCGTCATAGTCTCTTCTCCGCATCTTGGTGACAAAAGCACGCAAGGCAATAGAGCATCATCTCAGAGCGCACACCGCTCATCGCATGTTCACCGCAGTCAGCCTGGGAAGGCTCCACCCAGACAGCCACCACAGATCCTATCCTACACGAGGCGCAGACTAAGGCATCCCGTAGTGACAAATCTGTAAACAGCTGTGCGCCTATGAGCTGGGCATACCCAATTCCACCAACTGTAGACAACCTGAGATCTCTGAGTCGGTTTATGGGCATCATGCCGATGTAACACTCCACGTGGACGTGCCGCTCCGATGCCGATGCGGCATGCAAGAGGGGGCTAATCGATACAAATGCTTTGCAACCTAGCCTATGCTCACACTCAACTCCTGTTGGATCTGACGTCAAACCCTATGTCGTGTCAGCAACAATACCCGGTACGCATCCGTCGAAGCCATCTCAAAAGAGGTCCCCTAGCTGTCAACGCGGCCGCCATGCTGTTAACCCGCTAAGGGGCCATACTTCATGCACATCTAGAAGTATAGTCGGCCCAGATAGTGTCCGACACATGACAATTGACAGCAGCTAGCGTAAAAGCCTCCAAGCCTCCAAGGGAGATTCGGACCGATCTCTATCAGCCAACCTGCTGAGGTGTACCCTTACATGTGCGCTCTCTTAGAAGGAGTCACTGTAAGTATCCCTTTAGGCAATGCGAAGACCCGGTACCCTGCGCAGCGTTCACCTTTCACTTTGCTGCATTTCACAAGTGTGCCCTTTACACATGTATACAATACAATCTGCCGCGACCTTCCACACACTGTTTCCAGAACTCGATCAAGTCGTCTCAATTTTCATGAACTGCGGTGTGAACGCACTCTTTGGTGTTTGCTTCTATGTACCCGCTACATGATCTGCGAGTCCTGTCTACACAGCATGGCGGTCTCATAGAACGAGTCAGTAAACATCAAGATGATATCATCCAGTCTATGTATTCCGGTTCAGCGTGGCCCGATCCACTAGTGAACCACACTTTGGCACAACGGCTATCTCACGATCGATGATTACCATGTGGTGTATTCGCCTGACTCATTCATTGTTTTGGGAAGTAGCTGTGTACATTCTCGAATATTATCTGAACTGAGGTGCTGAACGATCTTTGTTCTGTCCCCTCATATAGAGTTCCCAGGTACCATGGTTTACCCCCCAGCTGAGCTTATAGTTGGCTAGGAGCTATCACAGTGGGTCTGCGGCATCATAGCGACCAGAATTGCAGTGCCCCTCAGGAACATGTAGATTGGTCCAGCCCGCGTTTGCATGTGCCCACCAAGGAATGCGGCTGATGACTTCGGACACTTATTCCAGAAGACAATCGCCTTGCTGTTCTACAAACGCCGAAAGCGCTCGTTTTGATTTCCACTCAACGATCCCATCGTTTTTTCACCAAATGCACGATCAATCTCCAAGTTGGTTCGTCCTGAGATCGAAAGCAACAGCGGATATACGATATGAGACTTTGATTCCTACTGTGATCTTCACTGCGATCGCCTCACTTGTGGTGGGTTTGCGATGGTGCAGCCGAGTAACATCAACTACAGTTATGCCGGAAGACTACATCGTCACTGCAGCCATGGTAACCAGCACGAGTAATCTGGGCAGTATTCAAAGCAACATTCTGATTCTCGCAGGTATCCTCCATCGGATTCGCGGCCGTAGTTGCTGGACGCAAGACACCCAATTGGACATTGCATGAGGAAGGAAAAGCTGACTGCAATACAGAGTTCAGCATCGACGGAGAGGATCTGAAGCAAGGAGGCCTTGAATCACCCTCGCTTGCTGCTATGCTGAAGGTGCGTGATATCCATTAGGCTTCGCACACTGTTGACTGTTTGTAGCTTGTTCTCGCCCAGACTATCCTCTACCACCTGGCAAGCAACCTTGTCAAAGCCTCATTTCTGGTACAATATCTTCGCCTCTTCCTAGTCATCCCTCAGATCGTCTGGATATGTAACGTGCTTCTTATCCTGGTCTTCGGTGCCACGGCTTGGGGCATCTTCGGTAACATCTTTCTCTGCGAGCCTGTGCAGAGTTACTGGAATGTCACGCTATCAGGAAAATGCATGAACAAAGAAAACCACTTCTGGTCAACGAGCATCATCGGTCTCGTACTCGACTTCTCCATTTGGGTTCTGCCTATTCCCGTAATTGGGAAGCTGAATTTGCCCAGTCGGCAGAAGCTTGGACTAGTCGCAGTCTTTGGGCTTGGTGGATTGTGCGTCCTTCCATTCCCTGTGATAGAAAGCTATCTGCTGACTTCGATTCTAGCGTCTGTATCATAACACTGCTACGATTGGTGCTGGTACATGACGCAGCGAATGACGGTGAAGTCACAAGTATGGCCTCGCTAGATCCGATATCAAGTGTACGCTGACACGACTGCAGAGGCGGGTACCTACGCTATAATCTTCTCGACTATCGAGGTTAACGTCGCCATCATCTGCGGATCGCTGCTTGTCATGACGCCTCTGATTGCACGCCTCCTGCCAGGTATCATGCCCGAGCAACCAATGACCGCGGCGGAAGACGAACGGACATGCAGAACCTTGACCGGATTGCATCTACTCAGTGGAGGCACGGAGGGTGACGTGGAGAAGGCGCAAAGGGGCGGGAGGCGCGACACCTTGATTGAGTCGGATGCGTTCGCTACGACCAAAGAGATGAAGAGGCTCATGAAGGGGCTGGGGAACAGCAAGCGAAACACTACGTAGCTTACCGAAGACGGGATGTAGCTTCTGCTATGACGTATGTCAACGTCTACGGTTTATGTGTCGCCCTGCTACCATTGTGATGTTTCGCTCAACAGAAAGCCTGCCATGTGTTCCGAACAGAGGTCTTCAACTACATGACGGCTGTTGTCCTTGTCCACGAATATCTGGGGAGCTCGCAGGCAGATGACAAGGAATGCCCCCACCAGACGTTAGCGTGGCAGCTTAGCTTGTCGACCGTGCTCAACCTCAACCTGCATCCAACATCGTTGATCGATTGAATGCAACTCGGTCTGCGTCCTCGTTTGCGAACACGGCCATCTTTATACGACCTAGTCCAAAAGAAGAACATTGACCAGATCTCGATATCTGGAGCTCATACCGCCGCCGGCTACGACGACGTTGAGCCACACCGAGTGCCGCTTCCCGCGAGCCCGCTGATATCACCACAAGGCGAGCTTCCCACCCAGCCGCCACCGCCGCACATCACCCTACAAGAAGCCAGCGACGACGAGAAGGAGAGACCAGCACCCAAGATGCCTCCCGTAAGCACTACAAGTTACAGGGACGGGTTTGGGGCAGGCAGCTAATTCACGCGCGCAGAAAGCACAGAAGAAGCAGGAGCAGAAGTCGGAGGGCGAGGAGCATGGTAAGCTTGAACACTCTGCACTTAAACGTAGAGAACAATAGGACATGTCGCTAATTCCATACAGGCGCCATCTACTCCATTTCCGGGTACGTCACCGCATCGCAGCGCAGCGCTCGAGTCGCATACTGATCCGTCCAGTCCTGTCATCATCGCCGAGAACATGATCGGATGTGCCATGTACGAGCTTGTACGTGGAACGGCTCTACTAGGATGGACGACTGCTGACTGCCCTAGGTCCGTGTTGGTCACGACAACCTCGTCGGTGAGGTCATTCGAATCGAGGCCGACAAGGCCACCATCCAGGTCTACGAAGAGACTGGTAGGCACACCGCGCAAGGAAACACGTTGGAGGACTGGGCTAACATCGCACAGCTGGTGTAACCGTAGGCGACCCCGTATACAGGACCGGGCAGCCATTGTCCGTCGAGCTGGGTCCTGGTCTTATGGAGACCATCTACGACGGTATCCAGCGTCCCCTCAAGGGCATCGCCGACGACGCCAACAGCATCTACATTCCCCGTGGTATCAACTTGCCCGCTCTTGACCGCAAGAAGAAGTGGGATTTCACACCCGGTTCCCTCAAGGTCGGCGACCACATCACTGGTGGCGACGTCTTCGGTACTGTCTTCGAGAACAGCCTGCTCAGCGAACATAGGGTTCTGCTGCCTCCCCGTGCCAAGGGTACCATTACCCGCATCGCCGAGAAGGGCAGCTACACCGTCGACGAGAAGATCTTGGAGCTCGATTTCAATGGCACCAAGACCGAGTACAGCATGATGCACAAGTGGCCCGTACGGGTACCTCGTCCTTCCAACGAGAAGATGTCATCCGACCAGCCGCTCATCGTCGGCCAACGTGTCCTCGACTCTCTGTTCCCCAGTGTTCAGGGTGGTACCGTGTGCATTCCCGGTGCTTTCGGATGCGGCAAGACTGTCATTTCCCAGTCTTTGTCCAAGTTCTCCAACAGTGACATTATTGTCTACGTGGGTTGCGGTGAGCGAGGAAACGAGATGGCTGAAGTCTTGATGGACTTCCCAGAGGTATGGAAATTGGATTATGGTGTGTACGACATGCTGACTTGCTCTAGCTCACTATCGACGTCAACGGCAAGAAAGAGCCCATCATGAAGCGAACCACCCTCATTGCCAACACCTCCAACATGCCTGTGGCTGCTCGTGAAGCCTCCATCTACACTGGTATCACCGTTGCCGAGGTAAGTTCCGACTGCTTGGAATACACGTGAGACGTATACTGACTCGTTTACCCCTGCAGTATTTCCGCGACCAGGGCAAAGACGTGGCCATGATGGCTGACTCCTCGTCACGATGGGCTGAGGCTCTTCGTGAGATTTCCGGACGTCTCGGAGAGATGCCTGCTGACCAAGGTTTCCCTGCTTACCTCGGTGCCAAACTTGCGTCTTTCTACGAGCGTGCTGGCCGTGTTCAGGCTCTGGGTAGCCCCGAACGATTTGGCAGTGTGTCGATTGTCGGTGCTGTCAGTCCTCCAGGAGGTGACTTTTCGGATCCCGTCACCACGAGCACACTCAACATTGTGCAAGTCTTCTGGGGTCTCGACAAGAAGCTTGCTCAGCGAAAGCATTTCCCATCTGTCAACACATCGATTAGTTACAGCAAGTACACAACCCCGCTCGACAAGTACTACGCCAAGAACAACCCGGAATTCCCCCGTCTCCGCGACCGCATCAAGGAGCTTCTCACTACGTCAGACGATCTCGACCAGGTCGTGCAGCTTGTCGGTAAATCCGCGCTGGGTGATAGTGACAAAATTACGCTCGATGTGGCTACGCTACTCAAGGAGGACTTTTTGCAGCAGAACGGCTACTCGGACTATGACCAGTTCTGTCCGCTATGGAAGACCGAGTGGATGATGAAGAACATGATGGCTTTCCACGACGAGGCCCAGAAGGCCGTCTCCCAAGGACATGCATGGCCCAAGGTTCGCGACGCGACCTCGGAAATCCAGAGCCAGCTCCGTTCAATGAAGTTCGAGCTGCCCAGCGACGGAGAGGAGAAGGTCACCAAGAAGGTAAGCCTGGCAGGACGTGACGCTTTGATTTGTACATACGCTGACTTCGAAACAGTACGAGGAGCTCCTGCAGAAGATGACCGACAAGTTTGCATCGGTTGTCGACGAGTAAATGCATGTGGTTGAAGGCGATTTCTCCGTAGCGTGTCTGTCTAGTATATCTCCAAGATCGTAGAATGTGAATTGTACCAAGATACCAATGCTGCTGCCTGAACCCGCTGACGACGCCGTGTCGCGTCCTGTGACCGCAATGCGCATCATGTGCGCCAGGAACGACATCATGGTAGTCAAAATATCGAAGTGGCTCTAGATCACTACTAGCGGAACACAGGAGCAGTTGAGCACATCTCTGATTTGATACATGTGACAGCTTGGTGACGTACGCAGCCCATGGATATCCCCAAGTCGCGCGGATATTTCGTGGGGCTGAGTCGTGTGGCGTATCGAAGCTTGGGCTCTCTCCGACGTTGGCACCTGCAGCAGCTACGCAACCCGCAAGCAACAACCCCAGATCTCAGACACTCTCGCCTTCAGCGCCCTTGATACCACCAACACCCAAACCCGCTTCTACACACGAACACTGAAGGCATCCGCACCACTTCGACCCACACTTCGCCGACCATGGCGACAAACCCAAATGCGTACGCACATGTTTCGAGGGCCCCTCGCATTGCGGAAAGCTAACGTGGTTATACAGCATCAACGTGAACGACCCGGGGCTGATTACTCTCGTAAACAAGCTCCAGGATGTCTTCACCACAGTCGGAGTACGTCGCTGCCCTCCGCCCGCCCGCGCGCAACTGGCTACACCAACAGCCCAAAGACGCATACTGATGCCTAAGTCAGGTCCAAAACCCCATAGACTTGCCCCAGATTGCCGTCGTAGGATCGCAGTCTAGTGGAAAGAGTTCGGTGCTCGAGAACATTGTTGGACGAGACTTGTGAGTGCCTCTTATTGCGCCATGGCCTGAGAGATGTAGGTTAACGATAGCTCTCCAGCCTGCCCCGAGGAACCGGTATCGTCACCCGAAGACCGCTCATTCTCCAGCTCATCAACCGCGCATCCTCGCAAGCGAATGGCACCCCCGAGGGAGCAAAGACAACAGACCAGGAGAACAATGTCGACGAGTGGGGCGAGTTCCTGCACATTCCTGGCCAGAAGTTCCACGACTTTGGCAAGATAAGGGACGAGATTGTGAGGGAGACAGAATCCAAGACGGGTCGCAATGCGGGTATCTCGCCCGCGCCCATCAACTTGAGGATATACTCGCCAAACGTCCTCACACTTACGCTGGTCGACTTGCCAGGTCTAACAAAGGTGCCTGTTGGAGACCAACCGAGGGATATTGAGCGTCAGATCCGAGAGATGGTCCTCAAGCAAATCAGCAAGCCCAACGCAATCATCCTGGCTGTCACTGCTGCCAACACCGATTTGGCCAATTCGGATGGTCTCAAGCTGGCGCGCGAGGTGGACCCAGAAGGACAACGGACAATCGGTGTCTTGACCAAGGTCGACTTGATGGACGAGGGCACCGACGTCGTGGACATTCTCGCTGGCCGCATCATCCCACTGCGGTTGGGCTATGTACCAGTCGTCAACCGAGGACAGAGGGATATCGAGAACAAGAAGGCCATCTCGTACGCGCTCGAGCACGAAAGGCAATACTTTGAGAACCACAAGGCATATCGAAACAAGGCAGCGTACTGTGGTACACCCTACCTTGCGCGCAAGCTGAACTTGGTAGGCTCAGTCTCTTCTATACACTTCGGCACAGCAACTAACAGTTACAGATCCTTATGATGCACATCAAGCAAACGCTGCCCGATATCAAAGCCCGCATCGCCTCCTCACTACAAAAGTACCAGGCAGAACTTGCTTCGCTAGGCAACTCCATGCTCGGCAACAGCTCCAACATTGTCTTGAACATGATCACGGAGTTCACCAACGAATACAGAGGAGTCTTGGAGGGCAACAACCAAGAGCTTTCTGCAGTAGAGCTGTCTGGCGGTGCTCGTATCTCTTTCGTCTACCACGAATTGTACGCCAACGGTGTCAAGGCCGTCGATCCTTTCGACCAGGTCAAAGACATGGACATTAGGACGGTTCTCTACAACTCCTCCGGATCATCGCCAGCGCTGTTCGTCGGTACTACTGCTTTCGAGCTCATTGTCAAACAACAAATTAAGCGACTAGAGGAACCCAGCTTGAAGTGTGTCAGCCTCGTCTACGATGAGCTGATCCGAATTCTCAGCCAGCTTCTCAACAAGAACGCTTTCCGAAGATACCCGGGCTTAAAGGAGAAGCTAC